GAGAATTAGAGCTTTTCTACTTCACGTTTCGCGTAAAAAGAGTGAAAAAATTAAACTGGACTACAAGCCTTCCATCAAACACCAGGGTCCAATGGAATCGGGACTTGGATGTGAAAATCCCAAACCTTGCCGGAATTATCACATAAAAAGTATTTTATTTTAATTTAACGGCGCGACTGTCTTATTGAAAAAGTATCCCAATTCCTGCTGAAATACTTTTTCGAAGACCTATTTTTCACGAGTTTCGATCAGCTACTCTAACAAGAAGAGGAAAAGGAGAGATAGTGAATAAAATTTTGTTTCAACTTACTTTTCTTTTATTTAGTTAACTGGTACTGGAGAAGTCAATCTGGACCTGGCACTTGGTCAATGAGCTGCACTTAAAACCTCGTGTGGAGCGTGGGAGCGTGAGAGAGCGATTTTCGCTTGCGCATGCCCTTTTAAACCCTGGGGGTGGTTGGGAGGAAAATCCCTCTTTCAGTCCCTCGAAATTTGGGAAGAGTGGAAATGCCAGTGAATTGTAATTGGCCAACCGAGATTTTCCCTCCTTTTCTCTTTCGGATTTCGGGCCCTAATTGGTTCGGGGGCGTGGTGAGAATTGGGGGCGCGCGTTCAAGAGTTTGGGCCTTATCTCGCTAGATGACTCTCCAAGTACCATTTTTAGTACAGTTTCTCTTATAATTATTAAGTTATTTATTATATAAAATTATTACAATTAATTCTTAAAAATAACGCAAGTTCCTTATTATTTAATATATTTTACGCGAAAATCTGTTGATCCTACATGTTTACAATTGGTAACTTAATTAATTAACTCACTTCGTTGTTTAAATAAATTCGAACGAAAAAAGGGTATTATTTAATTGTGGACTGGAATAACTGATTTGCTAAAATTCGTTCAAGTAACTGTTTTCGACTATTTACCTCATTTTTCTAATTTGTAATTTTAAAACTTCGAGTTATTTTCAATGATTGCGCGGCAACTATATTTCTAATCAAAAAGTGTGTGGGAGGTTTCAAGAAGCTGCGAAATTTTCCTATCATGCTGTTATTTTCCCGATTCATTTATGTAAAATTAGTTATTAAGGTTTTTTTTTTATAGCAAAAGTTTTGACTTCTAAAAGTGGAAATCTTTTGGGTGAAATCGAGTAACAGGATGCAGGTGGAATTCCGCGGCTCCTTTACTCTTTATCTAAACCTACTCAAAAAACTTTATGATCGTGCGAGGTAAACATCGGAAAGCGCGCGATAAAGGGACGACTATTTTCACGTGTCCTCCAGCTGCTTCAGCTGAAGGCTCTCCTTCGCTAGTTTACCGAGTTAAAATTTAAGCTACACAAAAGTACATGAGGAAAAAAAAAATTTATTTCTAATAAACGGCCCGACGTTACAGTCGTGTAGGTTTCCTGTTAAAACAAGAAAATACACTAGGGTCCGAGATTATTTAAATAGATTTTACCTTAGGTACCACTTTCTGCGTGCTCGTGGTAGATAAAATCATGCTGCTGGTAGCGATGACTGCCGGTGGAAGGGCATTTTCTATGCTACTCATGGGGTGTCTATCCACAGCATCAGTAGCAACATTCATCTAAAAAATAATATTCATTTTTTAAAATTTAGTTATTAAATAAAAAATGTATTTATCTATAATAATAAATAATCTTACCTTAAGAAATTTCTTCTTTGGTGGAAGAGATGTAAACGCTGCTAACGGAACAGCGTTTACACATCTTTTTTTGGCTGCTTTTACGGCTGTTGTTTCGCTCGCAGCCCTCGCAGCCTTTTCGGCTGCAGTCTTTGCAGCCCTCGCCGTCTTCTCGGCCGCAGCTTTAGCAGCCCTTTCAGCCCTTTCAGCTGAATATTTTGCAGCCTTTGCTGTCCTTTTAGCCGCGGCCCTTTCGAGCTCAGCGGCCCTCTCGCTTGCGGCCCTTTCGAGCTCAGCGGCCCTCTCGCTTATGGCCCTTTCAGCTGCAGCTTTTCCGGCTGCAGCTTTTTCGGCTGCAGCTCTTTCGGCCGCAGTTCTTTCGGCCGCAGCTCTTTCGGCCGCAGCTCTTTCGGCCGCAGTCCTTTCGGCCGCAGCTATTTTGGCCGCAGCCCTTTCTATCCTATCAACATCGCTCTGTAACTAAGAAAAATATATATATACCTATTTAAATATACTTATTTAAATATAATTATTTGTATATATACATACAAACTTATAACTACTATCTAATAAATCTAATACTATCTAATACTATCTAATAATTTATCTTTATAACTACTTCTAATAAATGTTGAATACGTCGCCTATGCGACGGCTCTGTCACTATTATATTTAGCTGAAAAGAAAAAATAAAAAGATTAAAAATAAATATATTTGATATTATTTAAAAAATACTTACCACTCTTAAAATCGCAATCTATAAACAATAAAATATGGTAGTTGGTAAACTAGCTAGCAGGACCGGCGGAGTCTAAAAAAATAAAAAATTTTATTATAAAAACTATCTTAAATAATTAATAGAATATATACATAAAATACTTACATTAACCATGAAAATAATCATGGCATTTATTGTACTTATTATTTGTACACTATCCATTTTAATTTTTTTATAAAAAGCAAAGAATAGTTACTAAAAAATACTAAATGCTTCGTCGATGTATTCTTCTTGAGCACTACCGAACGATTGACTCCGGAAAAGATTTTCGGAAAAATTAGGATGATTCCTACTCTCCAAAAGAAACTCTAGTCAAATTGATAAAAATCTTTAAAGGAAGAAGAACATTGATTTCGCTTTAGAAGCTCAGCATGTTGGAGGATGTTAACGCAACTAAACAAGGCTAACTTAAAAAAATACCTTATCTCTAAGGCAAAAAAAAGCAATAAAATGACTAACAGACACTTCGGCATTAAGATTACTCTATTTCCAATCACCTGCTGCGTAATACATACTTTCGAAAGCATCTTCATTGAAAAAGGAACATCGAATGCGTTTTAACCCTTAGCATGAGGTAAAGCGTTATTGGAGAGAGTGCAAGTTGGTGTGAGTGATCGAAAGTTTCCTAAATTATATGTGGCCCTGAAAAAGGATAGTGCACGCTGCTCGAACGCATCTTCATTTAAAAAAGAACATCGGTTGTGCTTTAGACTCTTAGCAACGACTTCTACAGCAACCTACCTTAACAACCTCTGTAGGTGGGTGAGAAAGTGGGTGAATGGGGGGGGGGCACTGTCGAAGGGCCCACTGGCTTCTGTCTCAGGAAATACGCATATACTTTATGCATTGGCGGCGCATCTTCAATGCATAAGCTACATCGATTACCTTTTAGGTACTCAGCGGGAGGTGTCAAAGGTACATCAAATGCCATTTAGACACTCAGCATAGGGTCTCACTCTGTCGAAGGGGCCCCATAAACTACATCGACTACTTTTCAGGTACTCAGCGGGAGGTGTCAAAGGTAGATCAAATACCTTTTAGAGAGAGAGGACATACGAGATATAACATATACTATCGGGCGAGTGAGAGAGAGAAAGAACAGCATCCACACTATACGGCGTACGCGCCTAGTAAGCTAGAGACGCTACCCCCTCTCCGAGGGTCCACACTCAGCCAGCATAAGCGCCCTACTATCGAAGGAGAGCGAGAGAGAGGAATAGAGAGAGAGAGAGACCATCATATAGTTTACCAAACACCCTACCGACTTCTACAGCATCCTACCTTAACAACCTCTGTGGGTGGGGGGGTGGGGGCACTGTCGAAGGGGCCCACTGGCACGCGGGAGGTGTCAAACGAACATCAAATTCCCTTTAAACACTCAGCATGGGGTCTCACCTTATCGCGATTAAAAGGTGTCACTATCGCGACATCTTCATCGGGCGGCCTTTTTGTGTCCCAGAACATACACGTATCCTTATACATTGGCGGCATCCTTTGTCGGCTCCTTTGTGTCCCAGAACATACATTGCTTATCTACTTAAACCTATTGATAAGTAGTACATTTCAATTGACGATAAAAGAAGACATAAACTAAAGATTGTTAGTGCTTTTGTACGATAAGAATTGCTTTTTAGATGCCGTTGTCAGTTTTGCAAGAAAAAATTTATTCGCAATGTTATAAGGTACTGTATATAGCCAAAAACACTTGATTTTCTCACTTTTAGGTTAGGATATCTCAAAATCCTTCGAATATATTATGTCTGATCTCTGAACCTTTGTCATATTTTGTTGGCCTGTGTTATTGATACCATACCAGGTAATATACCGATAAACATCTACAATAAAATTGTTACAGACATTCAAATATATAAGATTTCTGTCAAAATATTCCAGAATTTATATGCGGCATATGAGTACATATGAGTACTCATGGTTACTTGATAATGAAGTCAATGAAGCCCTGAAGATGAGGATGAGCGACGTGAGAATGGGTAGCGATCAGGTCTTAGGGATGTCCTGCTTCATGTAGTTCAGCTTGTGGTTGTGGAAATGAAGAAACCATTTATATGAGTAGATTCTGTAATTGAAAAGTATAGTATTCATTGTTAAATTTCACTAACAATATCTCAATCACTTTTATACTGTTCTAGCTTTTCAGACAAATTCATACCAATGAGAGAAGGAAAAACAATGCTCAATCGTGGTTAGGGTAGACTCCTTTTCATTTTGCTGTAATCTGATGCTGCTATTACTATTAAAAATGTTAACGGAGAAACACCATTATACTTGTTTGCAATGAGATATGATGCAGAGAATTTACAGTCTATTTTGTCTGTGAAAAATGATATCAAGAACACATTAATGTCCGATGGAATTACTAAAATTTTAGATTTTTCGTTAGCGATGAATGAATGTGGCACATTGAACTATTTTTTACGAGATTAAGAAGATGTAAATATAATTGCATCTGTAATCTAATTGTAAACCCAGCCTGTGGATGCATCACTTATTTAAAGCATTGAAGTCTTACATCAGCTATAACATTCCAATCTTCTGGTAGTTCTACTTTAAATCTTTTCAAAATATATCAACAACTTCTTTAAAATGAAGATATTCTTTAGTTTCATCAAAGCAGATTAATAATTTATATTTCTCATCTGACTGCTGTAAAGGAAGTATACATTCAGTAATAATTGCAAAATCTTTCATTTATTTTATAACAATTTACACTTTGCGTTATCAAATTATCCATGAGTATCGTACAAACCATCAATGAAGAATGATACTATCCTGTAAATAATAATAAATATTTAATATCTATTAATACATAAATATTCATGCAATGAAAAGGCATTTCACCTGGATTACTACAATGATGTAAATCCATTAAACTAACTCAACAAAGTCTTACTAAATTTGTAGACAATTTCTCAGTAATTTTGTTCATAGATTCATGGTGAATATATAGTTCAACCTATCATAGTAATTCAAAGAATAAAATCATAGTTTTAAATTCCAAGAAATAAACTGAAATAATATTTGTTCATTACCTGTCCTGGGTAATCAATCAAAAGGTAGTGGTTTTTTTAAATTAAGAACTTTTCTAATCAACCATTCAATATTTTTCTCAAAAAAGTCAATATAATATACCAAAGCTCCATTAGGTCCAAGTTTTAAAGTTTTTATAACTTCTTCATGTATAACTAATTCAGAAATATCTACTACTAGCTTATGCTCCATATTTTCATTGGCTGGATCTTAACAAAAAAAAACAAATATATGTCTCAAGTAGTATAGCAAAAAGTAGTTAATGGTAAGCTAGAAATACTAACTCACCAATATTTATGATTGCTACTTTTTTACGCAAACTCTCAAAAAATTTTCCCATTTCAGTGCAGTATTTTGTTTTATCACTGCGAGGTGGGCCTATTTCTAACTGACCAAATATGGTGCTTATTTTATGGACTCTTGAGATCCAGCTTTTGAATAACATTGACAATAGTTCTCAAAGTTGGAACTTCATAGACCTTTAGACAAATGGATATTAAAAATGGTTTGTCAGCATTTATTTGTTCTGTAATATAACTAGCAGTTGCATGAATTTCTAGATCATTTTTTCCAAAACTCACTCTACAACAGTAGTATGGTTTATAAAACAATGCCAGAAAGAATCAACATTCATATAACGAAAACCTTAACTTACTTTATATTATCCATGAGTACAGAAAATCTTCAATTAAATTTAGTTTTTGAAGTCAAAATTTCGTCAGTACAGAATCATTCCCGGTAAATATTTTTTCAATTCATTCTTCAGTTTCAAAACAGAAATATAAATTACAGCGATTAATTCTTAATTCAAGCTTAATTCTTAATCCATTCTTAATACAGTCTTAACGCCATTGTATACAATTAGCTATGAAAAATTCATTTAGTTTGCAAGCTTCTATACTATCCAAACCAAATACCATATAAATACCATAATAAAAGACAATGGTCTTTTACATTTTGTAATTCTGTGTGGCCTTTAAAATTAAAAACATTTAATCTTTATTACAATAATCAACTACACATGCTTCAGACATATTTTCAGAGTTTTTACCTAAAATTGCATATTTTTTCTTGTGAGAATAGCAAATTAACATTCTCCCTTGTACTCTATTATATGCATCTGCTTTTGTAAATGATTCAATACATACATGTGTATGAATTTTTCACAAAATTAGATGTGAAAGATTCTAATTCATTGGTCCATATTCAGAAAATAACAATAGCCTGAAGTGATCCACTTTGTATACAATTACTGAAGACCGTAGTGATTAATCTATAATCTTTGAACAAAGCTAATACCTAAAATAAAAAAAAAACGAATTCTACTGTATTTATCAACTTAATATAGAAGTTATAGCGATTAATATATAGAACTAACTCCTTCAGATATTGGCTCAGTTTAATATCGGCATGATAAACTCTGACAGCATACTGACTCGAATCTGCAACCCAGACAACTTCAAAAGCCTGTCCAAAAGCCTTGTTTCTCAAGCCTATAAAAGTATAAATAATAAATTATTATCACAAACTACGATGAATCTTCCTTTAGGATTGTGATGAATTGTTTGTGGATATAATTCACAAGCACTCATGTCTTTGACAGTTAATGATAACTTTTCACCTTCCTGAGCTTCTTCTCCAAGTACTTTCAAATTGACCTGCTAAATTTCACTGTGTTTTGCCTATACAATTTTGCCACCTATATACATAAAAAATTTTATAAGCTTAATGATCCTTACAATGAAACATGAAAGTTATTGCATATGTGATAAGTTTACCAAGAGAATCCATAGACACAGCTGGTTCTTCACAACCAACTTTTACCATTACACGACCTTCGTTTTAACCAATGGCTACATTATTGGAACCTTTTATAGATGTAATTGTCCAAACTCTTTCAAAGCCATAAATGAGACAAGTTCAAGCCTTTATGTACCAGCTAAATCCTTATAGTGCCATCCTATATTCCAGTCAGTATAATTGGCAACAAATACATATCACTATTAGTTAAAATGAATAGTTGAGTTAGATGAACTCTTTGAAAAGAGTAAATTCGCTCTAGTGTATTATAATTGAAAATGCTGATCTGCATATTATTGAACATAATATTATTTATGTTAGTATAGTATACCAAAAAATGTATACATCACTGAAACTGGAACGAGAAATAGAAAAGCTAACTGCGGACGTACAAACGATATAGATTCGTCTCGACTCCATGAAAATGATTTTTGCAGCGTTATCGGATTCTCCTCACTGGGCAGCAACAAAGTGGGAAGAGAGTTGACAAACAGAATGAGAAGAAGAAAAAAATTAACGAAAGAATTGAACATTCGCAACAATATATAGTCAATATTTTGGGTCAACTTGAAATCACTAGATGTAAAATATATTTGGATGCTATGATCGCTGTACTCTTTTCACCTTCTGGACATATCGCTGTATGCAAGGAATGTCTAACAAAAATTCACGAATGTTTAATATGCCGCTAAAGTAGTACCAAGTGTTTTTATGCTTATTATGCGTATATTTGTTCTTTTTTTTAATAAAGTACCTATTACTTTTCAAACACGTATGTGTACTATTTTTTCTCTTTTAATTTACTATTTTATATTGTATGTTAAATTTTATTTTAATAAAGAAATATCTGTTCAAGTTAATTGAAAATAATTACGATGAAACGCTCGATTTGAAGCATTTCAATACTAAGATGTCACCGATATAACCAACTACAGATATAGAAAAGTAGTTCACTGAAAATGTTTTAGAACGTATTAGGAAGAGCACGGAAGAATTTCAAGAGCAAGACTCGGACTGGACTCTTCGTATCATATGAATTCGATATATCGGATTTTCCAGAACCAAATTAGTACAATATTCCAAGAGCCAAGAAGAAAGGGGTTAGTAATATGAAAGAAGAGAACGGTGGAATGCTTATGCTTGTGTTTGTTGGATTCAGAATCATAAAGTATAGCGTCATAGCTTAGAATAAAAACCCAATAATGAAGGCAAAAGGGATAAAGAATTTTGTATTGAATGCTACAATTACATTCGATGAATATGTAAAATGTCTCCTAGAAAATTTGACTCTAAGCCGACAACAAAAGTTTATTAGATTACGTCATCATCACTTATACAGCGAGAGACAAAGATCGCATTCAGTGCCCATGACATTAAACGCTTCTTGCTATCTGGAACCATCAATACACTTCCTTGGGAACATAACGGCATTCCATTTGGTGGAAAGGGAGAGGATAGAAGCGTTGGAAATGTTCTCAGTTGAGCCGCTAACCGCCGTCGAACAGCCAACTACCGTCGAGCCGCCAACTAACGTCGAGCCGCCAATCACCGCTGCCGTCGAGCTGCCCAAAATTACTGGAGTTGGAACGGGTTATATCAATTAGAATTCGAGGCTACAGAACTCATTCTCGTCGAGAAAAAGATACCTACAACGACAAGTAGTGAGCAGCAATAGCAGCAGTCTTCTTATTTCATTCTTAGTCAACTTGCTCCAAGGAAAAGAAAGTTACTGGAAACTCGTTTTCTCCATAAAATAAAAAAAAAGTTACGCTATTAAAATTACTTGAGGTAATTGTGATTTGATGAATTTTTTTTGTTTTAAGTCAACTGAGTTTAAATGTCACTTTTTTTATAGATGGATCTTGCGCACCTGAATGATATAGATTATCATCAATTCGAACCCACTAAGAAGATTCATCAATTGGAAACAGTATCCAAGTATATACGAGGTGTGATCAAAAAGTAAGGTGAATTTTTATTTTTCTCAAAAAATATTTATTTATTCATCAATTTTTATTTTATCTCCTTCAAAGTAATCCCCCTCGGATATAATGCACTTGTGCCAACGCTTTTTCCAATCCTCAAAGCATTTCAAAAAATCATTTTTTGTGATCTTGTTTAGTTCATCCTTCGATGCCGTCTTTATCTCCTCAATCGTGGCAAAACGCCGTCCTTTCATGGGCCTCTTCAGTTTTGGGAACAAGAAGAAGTCACAGGGGGCCAGATCTGGGGAATACGGTGCCTGTGGCATCGTTACTGTGTTGGTTTTAGCCAAAAATTCGCGCACAAGCAACGATGTGTGAGCAGGGGCGTTATCATGGTGCAAAAGCCAATTTTTATTTTTCCACAAATTCGGACGTTTCTGGCAGATTGCTTCGCGCAAATTGCGCATAACTTGCAGGTAATATTCCTTATTTACTGTTCTACCCTGTGGCAAGAACTCACGATGCACCACTCCCCTGCAGTCGAAGAAAACTGTAAGCAAAACCTTTACATTTGATCGAACTTGGCGTGCTTTTTTTGGTCTTGGTGATCCAGAATGCCTCCACTGGAACGATTGAGTCTTAGTCTCGACGTCATAACCGTATACCCATGTTTCGTCACCTGTTATAACCCTGTTGAGTAAATCTGGATCATCGTTGACGTCATTCAGTAGCTCTTGGGCGATGCTCATGCGACGTTTCTTTTGGTCGAAATTGAGCAATTTCGGAACAAACTTCGCTGACACACATCTCATGTCTAAAACACTCGTCAAAATTGATTGGCACGAACCAAATGAGATGCCAATATCATCAGCAATTTCTCTAATGGTAATTCGACGATTTCCCAATACTATTTTCTTCACTTTTTCAACATTCTTATCAGTTGTTGATGTGCTGGGGCGTCCAGAACGAGGTTCGTCGTCGGTGTCTTCTCGGCCTTCTTGGAAGAGTTTATACCACTTGTAAACATTTTTTTGGCTTAAAGTAGACTCACCGTATGCCACTTTCAGCATTTCAAGTGTTTTGGAACATTTGATTTCATTTTTCACACAAAATTTAATGCAAACTCTTTGATCCATGTTTTTAGACAGCAGCAAATCGTGGAGCACGCAAAACACTTCTAACCTTGATGCCTCTCACAAACAAACCAAACATACTACAAAGCTGAAATTTGGAACGTATGTTCTATACGAGTGTACCGACATAACCAAATAAAAAAGTTGAAGATCGAACGGACGTAGCCCGCTAAATTTCAAAATTCACCTTACTTTTTGATCACACCTCGTATATCACAAGACTGGAACGAGTTTAAAGACGATTCGGTGTAAAAGTCGTAGTTGAAATGAACGATGAGTTTCGGCTGTTTCTACCAAACAAAGTATCGACTGCATTGATCGTAAATGAAAAGCTGCTGAACGATATGGCAGATTATACTAATAAACTTAAATTATTTTTTATTTAAAAAGGTGATGGCTGTATAGACTTTACAACTGCATAAATAGGTATCAATGTACGTGTAAGAAAAAAAAAAAGTTTTTTTTATATTTCAAATCAAATATGTGTTTATTTATTAATTCTTAAATTTACATAGTTTCCTTTTTACAATTTGGTTATGTTTCTCCAAATATAATGTGAATCAAATCCTAACCATAACTTGATTACTACATCTTTTAATAACTTTTACTACTAGATAAATATTAGGATATTAGTTTTCTTAAGTTCCTATTCGTAGAAGCCAATTAGGATAGGCTGATTTTGATAATCTTTCAAATGATAAGTAGTTAGATTTTAGTAAACATTTCCATTGACCAATTTGGTGTATATCCTTTTTCAAATATTTACTTCGCTTTGCTTGCTCTGATTTTATCACCAACTTTGAACTTGGACTTTCTTTTTCTTCTTTCAACGTCTCATACAAAATTTTGTCATACTTGAACTGTGTTTGCGATTATTGTAAGCAGTTGTGAGCTCTGGTAGTATGTCCAACCATTTATAGCTCCCACGGAAACTAACCTTTTTCCATATAGCGTCATTTAACGTGCGATTAAATTGTTCGCATATCGAAGCTTTGAGTAAGCTATAGGTAGAGTATAGATTAATATTATATTTTTTCATAAAAGCTATAAAATCTACATTGTATAATTCCTTGCCTCTATCCGTATGGAGATTCTATGGCAGTCTATTGTCGCTAAAATAGATTTCATGGCCGCTGTCACATCGCGGCCGGTTTTACTTTTCACTGGCACAGTCCATGCGTGCTTGGAAAAATTATCAATTATCGTCAGAAGCCAATTGTAGCCGCGATTTTGTCTAGAATAGGCCTGCATATCGATGAGATCGGCTTGCCACGTTTCATCTATACCTTGATCGCCGTAAATTTATCTTGGATAATTACGTCTCGTTGGTTTGTGTAACTCCTCCATGGCCACCGCTATCATCTAATCTACTGTTTTATAAATTTTGAGCACTTGACTTTATTCGTGGTAATTCTTCTTTGATAATTGCATTCAAATCCTCAAGATCACTCTTCAATCGTGCGATTATGTCTCTCGTAGATTTGGTTTCCATCTGAACGATCTTTTCCACAATTTCCCAATTTATAACGTCTCTTACCTATCGCGGAGAACTTTTATTTTCTAGATCGTAATGGTGCTCACTCGTGAGCTTGAACATAATACTAGGGGGACAGCAAAGATCGATTATTGAATGAATTTCGTTGGTATGATTATTGTTACTAGCTGATTATTCAGCCACTAACAATCGAAGATGATCAACCAGTTCATTCGGATCATCTTAGTATACGTAATTTATATAAGTATATAAGCACATATTTTTTCCATTAATAATAAGCCATGTTGACGCTTCAACGATTGTTCAGAGACTGCATACTGTATTACTATCCTGATATATTTATAACAAAACAATCAAAACCCTTCCGAAATCTTCTACAGTTTATAGCTCTATCTCTGTTGATCATTAAAAACCCATATTTATCATCTAACCAGTATTTTGCACAAAGTTCTTTAAATTAATTGTAAGTCATAT